CGCGCCGCCCCCGCTCCGCCTACCTGGTAGCCCTTCCGCTTCTTCAGCCGCTTCTTGTTGAGCTTCTTGCAGGCGTACATCTTGCCCGTGGCCTTCATCTGGCAGGCCCACACCTCCCCGAAGCCCCCCTTGCCCAGCACCCTGAAGTCCAGGAACCAGTCCTCCCCCATGGGCTGGGCCTCCAGCCACTTCCACTGCAGGAAGCGCAGGAAGTACAGGCTGCCCAGGTACTCCTGGAAGGGCACCTGGCCCAGGTGCGCCAGCGTGGCCTGCAGCAGCGGCTGAAACAGCCCGTCCTGGCCGGCCGCCGGGCCCGCCTTCACCCTGGCCACCGCCGCCTCCTCCAGGAAGCTGCAGAAGAGCCGGGCCTGGGGCTCCAGGTAGTCGGCCAGGATGCCCCGCACCTTCTGTGGCCGGAGGTCGTCGTCGGCCGTGTCATAGTCCTCGATATCCTTCCAGAGCTCCAGGGCCGGCACGTGCTGCTCGTCCGTCTGCAGGAACTGCTGGAAGAGCCGTTTCCCGATGGGCTGCTCGCAGCATAGGTCCTGGAAGTCCAGGCAGAGGCCGTCGCGCAGGGTCTCGCACTTGGACAGTGGTGGCAGCCTGAGCTTGGCCAGGTACTTCTTGTCACGCGCAGACGGCGTGCTGCTGCCATCGAAGCTGCCCCGGGCAGCAATGAAGGCCGAGTTGGCCACCACGGTCTCCAGGGACCCGAAATCCATCCCGGCGGCGACGGCAGCGGCGGCGGCTTCCTGCCCGCGTCAGGCGTGGGGGGCCATCGGGGGGCCTGACCGCTGCCCTGGGGCCCGTCCCGGCCCTCGCTGGACGGAGGAGACGCCCTGGCCGCGGCGAGGGTGCCCGGGGACAGCTGGGAAGCCCCCGGGAGCCCGGGGCTGACACAGCATCCAGCTAAATCCGGCCCAGGTCAGGGAGGACGCCTTGGGGTGACCAGCAAGGACCAGAAAAAGACAATCCGCTGAGCTGCCCGATCGGATTAGACGGATCACTCCGCCGGCACCTTCCTCCAGAAGGACAAACCCCAGGCTGGGGCTGGGGAACCCGCGGAGCCGGGACTGTCCCCAGTGGCCCGTCCACCCCCAGACTTCCATGGGCCTTTTGGGGTGCGGCCGGGAGGGTGAGGGTGTCCCAGGAGACACCTCAGGGTTTTGCCTACTGTGTGGCATCTTTATTTTTAAGAAAATAGCGAGTGGGAGGAAAACAACCTGGTGCCGGGAATTGAGAGAGGAAAACCCACAGCACGAGGCTTCTTGGGTATCTGTAGGGGAGACCACCCACACGTCTAAGGGATCCACCCCGAGTCTCCTTCCTCTTCTCACCTGGGGACCCAGGCCAAGCGGGATTGTCCAGAAACCGTTCAGGTGGCACGGGGGCCAGGGAGCTGAGACCCCAGAGCCAAACCCAGGTGAGGCCCCCGCCCAGAAAGACACAGGTGTGTGAGGATGAAAAGGCTTGGGGCACACCTGGGACACACCTGGCACACACTTGGAACACACCCAAGACAACCTGGGACATATCTGAGACACACCTGAGATCCACTTGGGACACGCCCAAGACACCCCTGAGACACACCTGGGGCACACCTGAGACTGCTGGGACTTGCCTGGGACACGCCAAGGACACACCTGGGCATGGCCGGCGCGATGGGAATGCCAGCTTTGTGGGACCTGGCCTGTCTTGCTCCTGCATACAGCAGGGGCTCATAAGGGCTTGGGGGGTTGAGCAGCAGAGGCACGGGGTTGGCTCCTGCTGACAGACGGGAGGAAGTCACGGGGGCAGACAAAAGCATGCCTGAGCCGGGAGGTGGGGCCACAGCAACCCCCCACCCCCATGTCGTGGGGGAGGCCTTGGGAGCAGCGGTGGGTGCCGTGGATGCCGGTCCTCTGTGCAGTCGAGCAGGTGGACATGAGACTTGCTGGGCTGAGCAGAGGCCCACGGCCTCCTGCCAAGAGCCCTGGGCAGGTGGATCGTGAGTAAATATTTGTGGGGAACGAAACTCTTTGTTCCCCTGGGAGCCCTGCAGGGCCCAGCCCGCCACTTAAGCCACTTAACCGCGGTGACCTTGGGCCAATCGCGTGAACTCCTTCCGCCCAGCCACCCCCAGGATCAGCCAGGGCGGGGCCCCGGCGGTGCCGCGTGAAAGGGAGCGGCCTCTGTGTGCATTTCCCCGCGCGTCCTGGGCCGCACTCCTCAGACAGCTGCACGGGCACCCGAGACCTGGCTGAATCCAGCGTCTGCCTCGGTGGCCACGCAAGCAAGACTTTGCATCTCTGACCAGCTCCGGGCAACACTGACGCTCTAGCCAGAGCCCCAGCGTGAGGTGCGGGGTTGGGAGGAGAACTTCCTGTTGAACTCCAGGGCTGCCCTGCGGTCAGTGATGCCAGAAGGCAGTCAGACGGACAAAGGCACGTCTCCCGGCACAGGGCTTGTTCAGAGGCTCTAGAGTATCTTGGCTCTGGAAATACTTTTTTAATTGAACCTTGTATTTTGCAATAACTGTAGATTCACATGTACTTGTAAGAAATAATCCATAAAGAAGGACAAAATTATGAACTGCACAGCAACTTGGATGGACTTAGAGTCGGTAATACTCCGTGATCTGTTACAGAAACAAAGAACTGAGCACCACATATTCTCACTCATGCGGACCCTGAACAATTATCACCATACTATAAGAAAGGGATTGGCAGTAGTGGAACACTGCCAGGGGAGGGCAAACCTCATCAATAACGCCCGGGCACCTGGTCTCAGACCAGGTGAAGTGGGGACAAAAGTGAACCCCAAACTTTACCTGTACAATGACCCTTTGTATACCTGACCCTGAATTGTACCCCACATCTTTAAAATATTTTTTTAAAAGGAAAGCAGTAATCCAGAGAGACCCTCTGTGCCCTCAACTGTTTTCCTCAATGGGAATGTCTTGCCAGATCGCTCGGCCAGGATATTGACACGGATATGGTCAAACCCAGACATGTCCACATCTCCATCCCACAGGTGCACCACCATGGCCTCTCCTAGACACACCCACGTTGCCCCCAGTCCACTCCTCCCCCTGCATCAGCCACTCGTCTGTTCTCCGGCACTGGGCTCTTGCCATTTCAAGACTGTTCTATCATGGGTCCATACAGGACGTCACCTTTTGGGATTGGCTGTTTTCCTCAGGATAAATTCTCCAGTTATTCACCCAGGCTGTCGGGGGCCTCTAACGTGCATTCCTTTTTGTTGATGAGCAGCGCTCCGTGGTGTGGACGGGACGGGGTCAGCTTGGCCCTGCCTCTGTTGAAGGGCATCTGGCGTCTTCCCAGTTCCAGCTCTCATGAATGAGGCGGCTGTAAATATGCACGGAGGCTGTCGTGTGGGTATGAACGTCCACTTCTCTGAGATGGATGCCCAAGAGACGCGCCGCTGGGTCCCACGGCAACTGCACGTTGGTTTTGACGAAGTTGACGGGCTGTTTTCCGGGACGGTTGCACCAGCTCCATCCCTGCCCGCACCCTCACCAGGGCTTGGTGTTGCCGCTCTTTTCTGCTTCAGCACTGCCAGGGGAGGGCAAACCTCATCAATAATACCCATGCTGATGGGTGTGGAGTGGTACCCCACTGTGGTGTTAATTCATATTTCCCCAGAGGCAGAGGGCCTGAGCCCTTTGTGTGTTGAGCTGCCATTCGTGGACACTCTTTGGTGAAGTGTCCCCTTACGTCTTGACTGTGCTGAGTTTTGAGATTCCTCAAATGCCCTGGACACTGGTCCTTGGTCAGACTTGGAGCTTCAGATATCTTCTCCCAGCTGTAGCTTGTCTCTGCATCCTCCTTATACGGGCTTTCACAGAGCAAAAGTTTTATTTTGTTGAAGTCCCGCTTACCAACTTTTCCTGGTATGAATTGTGCTTTTGATGTCAAGTCCAAGAACTCTTTGCCTAGCCCCCTTTGGGATTTTGCCCCGTATTTTTCCTAAAAGTCTTACATTTCTACATGTTTGCATTTAAGTTTACAACCACTTTAATTAATTTTTGCACGTGGTTCGGTTGAAGTTCTTTTTTTTTGCTGACGGATGTCCTGTCACTCCAGTGCCACTTGCTGAGACGGCTGTTCAACTTCACTGGATTCCTTTTGCACGTAGTCAGAATCGGTTGTGCATATTGTGTGGGTCTATTTCTAGATTTTCTCTCCTGCTCCATTGACCTATGTGTCTCTGCCCATACCACACAACACTGATTAAGGCAACTGTATGGTGAGCTTTGAAACTGGGTAGTTTATTTTTATTTATTTATTTATTTTGAGTTGGAGTCTCACTCTGTCGCCCAGACTGGAGTGCAGTGGCCGCTCCCGGCCACCGCAGCCTTGACCTGCTGGGCTCTGGCGATCCTTCCGCCTCAGCCTTCCAAGTAGCTGGAACTACAGGCGTGCTACCACGCCTAGCTGATTTTTGATTTATTGTAGAGATGAGGTCTCGCCAAGTTGCCCGGGCGGGTCTCAAACTCACGGGCTCAGGCAATCCACTCATCTCAGCCTCCCAAAGCGCGGGATTACAGGCTGAGCCACCGAGCCCGGCTGAAACTGGATAGTTTAAATCCACCCACTTTATTCTTGTTTCTGAAAATACTCCCAAAAAAGTTCTCAAAACACTCTATAGTCAAAACATGCAAGAAGATATTTACTTACTCCTTTGCCCTCCCCTATAAATTTTGGAATGGCCTTTCCCATATGTACAAAAAAAAAATCTTGCTTGGATTTTGAAAGGAATTATGTTAAACGTGCATATCAGTTCGGGGAGAATTGACCTCTTTCCTGTGTTGAGTCTTCCAATCTCTAAACAACACGTGTTTCCATTTATTCAGAGCTCTAGTTTTGCTCATCAATGCTACGTAGGTTTCAGCAGTCAAGTCCCGTACATGTGTTGTTAGAGTGACTATGTATTAACATCTACGTTTTGAGCAGTTATAAACGGTTTCTGATTTTCAATTTGGTATCCACATGTCTAGCGCTAAGATACAGAAGCATAGTTAATTTTTGAGCATTTATCTTGTATCCTGTGACCTTACTATACTCATTTATAAGTTGTAGGAGTTTTGTTAGAGATTCCTTGGGATTGTCTATGTGTTCTTGGGCCTGGAGGTTTTTCATTGGAAGATTTTAAATTACGAATTCTATTTTCTGAACAGTTATGTTTAATGTAATTGTTGATGTGTTAGGTCTCACATATTCAAGGCGTCTATCTGGAATTGGGTGTGGTGTGTTTTTTGACCAAGTGGTCCATTTCGTCTAAGTTGTTGAGTTTGGGTAGGCAGAGTTGTGTGTGGTATTCCCACCCATGTTGTCTCTTTGGTGTTTGCAGGGTCTGTAGTGATGACCCCTCTTTCATGCCTGCTGCTGGTTATTCGCGTCTCTCTCTTGCTGGAGGTCTGCCAATTCTGTTGATCTTTTCAAAGAACCAGCCTTCACTATGTCTTTTCTGTTTTCAAGTTCACTGGTTTCTGAGCTCATTTTCTTTTTACTCACTGTGCTTGTTTGTTTTTGTGTTGTTTATTTGCTCTTATTTTTCTAGGCTTGTGAGGCGAGAGTTTGGTTATTTGCTACCCTCCCTCTTTTTTTAATACATGCATGCAATGCTACAAATTTTCCTCATAACACAGCTTTAGTTGTGTCTCACAAATTTTGGTGTATTATATTTTTGTCTTCAACCAGTTGCCTGGTTTTTTTTAATGTCTCTTGAGACTTCTTTTTTGACTCATGGAATATTAGAACTGTGTTGTTCAATTTCCACA